ATTCGGTTCTTCAACCTAAGTGGATGATGGGAATACGCAAATGATACGATAGTCCGCTGCGGAACGATTTATTTCTCGAAACGAAGTCTCTGATGATAAAAAGATGCGTGAAGTCGCGGGCGTTCCGATTCCACGATTGAAAAAAGTGGACACTCCGGACCCGAGGCTCCGAGTCGAGTTTCTCTCGTCTCCCCGTAATATCGCAGCACGAAACTAATGCTAATGGCACGGGAGTAGAATTACGAATTGAATCCATTCGTAGATATGCCTTATCGTCCGCAAGTCCTTATTAGAGGGGGGGGGGGGTCTTTGTTGGTCCTCCTGGCAACCAAGTCTCTCGTTAGACCAGTGTTCCCCAAACCTTTGCGGGCTGCATCAATACTTGGGTCGACCCGAAGTGGGCTGCATCGAAAATTAAAATTCTGCGAACGTGCAGAGGTGAACGATGAGCATGTCGCAGTGGGACGCATGCGCCCCGCGGTCCGCACTTTGTATACCACGACACACGACTCCCTTCGGAAACAGAGGGAAAAGCCATCCGGCCATCCGGCCCCTGGCTCCGAGAAGCGACCCGAGCGCCCTCTGTCGCAAATGGAGCGGGTTCGGCTCGAAGGGGAGGATCGGGCGTGGGTGGGATTTCCGGCCGTCTTGGCGTCCCCCCTCCTGGCTTATCTCTTACGCGAAAATCTCGTGACAGAAAGTCGGGTGCATGCAATACTTGTTCACCGTGGTGCAATACGGTTGTTGCGTCGCTTTAAGCACGATGTCTGCTGCTCGGGGGATAGTTGACTCGAATCGGCCTTCCCGGTCTCGAGACCCGAGTCGGCCGGGCTGGAGCGTGTGTCCCTCGATTGCACGGGGTCTGTCGTCGTCTGTCGTCGTCTGTCATCGGCTGGCATCGTCTGTCATCGGCTGGCATCGATTGCCATCGTCTGATACCGTTTTTCTCTGCTCTGACTGACCGGGGTCCGTCGACCGGACGCCATGACGTTGACGTGTCTTGCCTTCGTCGTCCTCGTGAGTCCGTCTCTCGTTTTCCTCCGATGGATCCGCCACGATCGCTTCCATGCTTCTTTGAGGGAAGTTTTCGAGCGGTCGGGAAGGTTCTCGCGAGTGCCTCCAGTCGGGAAGGTTCTCGCGAGTGCCTCCAGTCGGGAAGGTTCTCGCGAGTGCCTCCAGTCTTGAAGGTCGCGAGTGCCTCCACGTGATTCGTAACTCGCCCGGATGCTCGAGGAAAGCACTCCGGTCGATAAGTACCGCGATAAAGGAAGCCAGGGAATGGCACGGTCCCACGCTCGGCCTTCCGGGATCGCAACCCCGCTCGAGACGAGAGAGGCGGGAAGGCACTCGCGAAGCGGGCGAGCATCCACCCGACGGCCGATCCATTCGCCGTGCGATCCTCGGCGATCTCCGAGAATCGTCGGGACGGACTCGGACCGGAACCCGGCCGACTTCGCCGACGATTTCGGTCGAGCCGACGAGCGCCACGGACCCAAGCCCGCCCTCGGTCGACCGCAGTGACCGCCCTCCTGACCTCCCTCCTGCCGCGCCGAACCCGATTTAACCCTGAGATTTCGTTCGATCTGCAGCTGCGGCTGTCGGAAGGAACGGGCGAGACGCGGCTCCCCGCCGCGGAATTCTGCGGGCGCCTCTTCAACCGGATGCCCGGAAAGGACGAGGAGCCCGGCTCTCATCTCGACTGCGGAGGGTGCTCGCCGGGGTGAGTCTCAGAAGAGTGTGACGTCGCGGTGACGTCGCGGTGACGACGCGGTGGGTCTGGAGTCGGCGCGAACGGAGGAGTTTCAAGGCGGTTCGCGGTCACGGAAGGGCTTCTTCGTTCAAACCGATTCCTAAGGAAATGACTGAAAACGATCGCGACGAAACACGGGATGCGATTGGGTACGAGGTTCACGTCGCGCCACGAGTGGGGAGACGGCGAGCGCGTGGCGCCCGTGCGTCGTGCGTCGTGCGTCGTGCGTCGTGCACGTTGCCGCGCTATCGCATTCGTGATACGTTCGGCACGGGGCGTACGGTTTCGTACGGCTCTCGTTATCGGGCGGTCCGTTGGTTTTATCTGGATGCGTTCTTTAGGTACGTCGCAGAACCTTGGAGCGGTGGACGAGTCTCGGAGACGTGCGAAAGAGAAGCGGATCGCCGCGGGACGGAGAGCACCGGCGCGCGGATCGACACCTGCACGTGGAAAGACGCCGGCACGTGGATCGGCATCGGCGCGAACGCGGTCCTTCTCGTCCTGACCGCCTGGTTCGTCTGTGAGTGTCTCGCGTCTCCCGACGGTCTTTCTCGATTCGAAAGAGTTTTTCCACGTTTTTCGTTTTCGCGTGTCGCAGGTGAGAGCGAGCGCGAACGCTGGAGATGCATCCGCGCGACGCCGCCGCCGCACGGGGAGACGGAGGAGCGGGAGGATCCAGCGATCCCCCGGAGAGAGGAGCCAGCGATCCCCCGTCGCGAGGAGCCGGCGACCGCCCCGTGGCAGGACCCGCCCCCCCTCGCCCCCCGCCGCGCCGCTCCTCGCGGTCCCGCCGCCGCCCGTCGCGGCGACCCGGCGAATGACCGACCGGAGGAGACGCCTCTCGGGTGATCGTCTCCTTCCCCGATTCCTTCCCCGTTTCCTTCCCCGATTCCCGAGTCCTTCCGATGCGCCTCGTGCTTTCGTCGAGGACGGATCAAATTTCGGCGATCGTTCCAATTTTTTTTTTTGTGCACATTTGCAAATAAAATTTTCGCATTTTATCTATCGTCCGTTTCCACTCTCTCGCTTCGCGTGTCTGGCTGCATTCGTCTCGATCGATCGCATTTCGTGCCTTTCTTTTTATTTTAATCAAATGATCATCATCATCTCATTTATTTACATATTTTAAATTTCTCCTCGCGAGAAACAAAGTCCGAAAACCCGTCACCTTTTCCCCCAAAAAAAGGGGAAAGGTGACGTCACCTCGCGACGAGACGAACCCACCGACGCCCAATTGTTCCCTGGTGATCGACAGATGGAGTGCGATGCCTCGGGGAAACTAGATCAGATTGGCTAAGACGAGGCGTGGCGTTACGCTTCTCGAAAAACTGGTTTAAATGGCGCTATTGTGATAAAACGGAGGGCGAGGAATTCAAGTCTCGAGCTTCTAAGTGCAAGAGAAAAGACCTAAGGGGCACACGAGCTCGAGTCTTCCCTTAGAAAGAGATAAAAGGGCCAAGTCAGGAACGACCTCAAGATATTAAGGAAGTTATCACTTTCCTGCAGTTCCTCATTTCAACCCTTTCAGACCTTAATATTAAGGCCGCTATTGGAATATATATATTTTTCCATTTTTTAGCTCCTTTTGCTATTCTACTTTTGAATTTTTATGTTCTATATACCATCATTTTTATATTTCTTATAAATTAACATATATATTATACATGTAATTACATAATTAAAGATTACAAAACTGACGGGTGAGAGAAGGCCTCCGATGGAACCGAGACGTGCATAATTGCACCCATTGTAGTATAATACGAGGTGCAAAGTCACGAGAATCCCAATAAATTACTGTAGACACAATGGAAATTGCAACGTCCATTGGAATGGACGCTGGGTCTGAAAGGGTTAACAAAACCGAGTGAACTCGGCGCCACGCAACCTACTGCATCCATCCGTCCTCACCCGCTCCGCTCTGCCCGAAGACGAAGTTGTCCGGACGAAAGAGCCGCCCGAAGGCCCCCGACCTCACGGAGTCCATCGTCCCCGGCTCCAGATCCACCAAGATGCTCCTCGGCACGTACTTCCCGCCTGCAACCGCCCCCACACGACCACGGTCAGCCGGCGGCGTCCACGGGTCTCCCTTCGCGCTCGCTCGCTGCCCTTACCCTGCGCCTCGAGGTAGTAGACGTCGATGCGTTCCAGCTGGAGGGGGGAGTCTCCGTGGTAGGTGCCCGTCGGGTCGATCCCATGCTCGTCCGAGATCACCTCCCAGAACTGCGTGTACGTGAATGGCTTTATGATACGGATGTGACGCGTAATTCGGTCCTACGCAGTAAAAAATCAGCTCAGAAGCAGACAAGTCGTACATCTATACCAGGTTCGAGGAAACCGAAATTCGAAATGGCATTAATTACAGACTAACTTGGAACCGGTGAGACCGAACGTTGAAAGCCTTGGGCCGCGACGCGGAGCGATTCGGAAGCGAAATAAGCCAGGCCTCCACCTACCTTGGATCCGATCTGGTTGCCGCACTGGCCGACTTGCAGATGGACGATCTCACGCATCGTCGTCGACGTGGGACTGTAAAGCGGACGCGAGCCTTCCAAACGCGCAGAGAAACCGAGACGCCTGAGCGAGACACCCCTTTATATAGCGAGCGCTGAGGCGGGAGAACTTGCGCGACCCCTGCCGCCTCCGCCCGGCCTCGACTGGGTGACCTTCGCCGCGGGGGGGACGGGGAGCCGGTTGCAGCCTGATAGATGCCGGGGGGGGGTGGGGGGGGGGGGGGGGGGNCCGGCCTCGACTGGGTGACCTTCGCCGCGGGGGGGACGGGGAGCCGGTTGCAGCCTGATAGATGCCGGGGGGGGGGGGGCATGAGGGAAGTCCGGTCGCGTTGGGAATCCTACTTCGAGGCTTGGACGGGTTTACTAGAAAAGATAGTGAGGTTCCAGGGATATTTCACCCGTCTAACTGTGCGGAGACACGAAGCTGAGAAAGTCATCGAGGAAGGTCAGCATTCATTTACATTTTCTTAGGAGGGGCGGGGGTGCTGCTTCATGCCCGCTACGACCAGTAGGAACGGCAGAAAATGCCCTTGACAACGAAGGAGTCTGCACAAAAAAAGAAGCTAAGGAATAAATGGCTCACGCCACTGAAACTTGAAAAAAAGACCACCTGGCAAGCGAAAGACTCCGATTCAAGGCAGTCTCGAGGGAGCAAATCCTATTATTGCGGTTTTTTTTTCAGGCATACGATGTGAAAAGAACGTTCATTCCCACACTAGAGGAAAACCGAACCATCCATGCAAATCCCGGTTCTCTCTCGAGAGCGAGAAGGAAGCGAGCGCGAGACGACGATAAGGGAAGAGAAGAGAAAACGCAATAGGGACGAACAGGAAGCGATAACGACGCGAGAGACACTTCTCCTCTCTCTCTCTCTCTCTCTGTGTTGGGCCTTTGTGGAGGATGCTGAGGGGGTTTTTGGACAGAGGCTTTCTCGATGTCTGACACGAGAGGATGCCGACGGTCCGTCCTTGAGACTTGAGACTCATGCTTTTATGAAACAACTGAAACAAAAATAAACAATAGAGCAAACACGCGGGGGACTATTCCTGTGTCACGTGCGTGCGTGCATGACTCATCGGTGACAGTCGATTGCTTATGCAATGATGAAGAATTTCTTAGGAATACGGTCGCCTGTTCTTATGAAAACCCCTATTTTCAGTTGAAAATATTTCCCAATGAAGTATCCTCGTGGCTTTATCACTTTCATGCAGAAGCTCCCATTTATAAGCATGAATTTTCGTTTGCATTGCATTGATTCATACTTACGTCGTGTGAGCATGAGTCAATGCGATACAAATGACAACCAGGAAAAGACGAGAGGGGTCGTAATCCGAACAACGACCAGATAGCTTGAGTAGAATTGCATGTCAGAGTGCCGAATTCACAATGTGCGTTATTGTGAGGTTTTCTTATTCCCCTGGAACGCCAGATCGGTTGGATATACGCCACCTTGTCATTCGCTGCGACACACATGGCAACACTGGACCCAGTGTGGCTGCCGTCAGTGGTGCTGTCGTCCGTATGAGGTGATGCGTGTGTCTGGGATGGTTTCAATCTTAGGTTTTTATGGCGAAACTGAAAAAGTGAAGTATTAAGAAGGCGTGGTAGAACGTTTATGGAGGCAAAGACTGAATTATTAAGACTTATTGGAACTCAATGAAGTGCATTAGACGAAATTTGCTGCAGAAAAGCGAACTACCTATCAGCAACAACGAGCTATCACCCCACGTTCTCTCTCCCATCTCAGACTCGTAGGCCTAGGCTAGATATTGTAGAATGGCAATGTACTCGAAAATCATACGTGACCACTTTCGACTACAGATCCTGTGACTTTTTTTTATTTATTGGTATTTTGGGTAAGCTGAAAGTTGAGCATTTTGCTTTGGTATGAGTGTGATGGATATGCTTACCGTTAGCAGTGATTATTGAATGAACCCTCCTTGCCCGCTAACTTGGGCAGGGAGAGGGATTTTATGCAGTTGAAAGTCGTTATAACAGTTAACTCCCAGCCCCCAGAAGGTCTTTAGCTTCTGGGGTGAATTCATTTCAAACCCATGCTGGGATGCATGAAAGATAATGATGCAAAATAATAGGGTTGTTCAGCAGTAGCTTGACCTATTTTCAAAAGTATGCTAAGCTTTGACCAGGGGGGGATGAGGAGTAGGAGCAGTATTGGTTGTCTTGTGCATAATTCCAGAATAATCATGTTCACCTAGTTCTGTTGACTCTGTCATGCATCCATTCCTCATCCTGTGGGCATAGGTCCATGAGAGAGTGTAAGGCGATTGTGAAAGGAAGACAACTGTGGGCTGTCAGCCAGTTCTTGGTTTATTATTGTTTGAAGTATCTGTGAGGCCTATTTGTGAGGAACTCAGATTAGATATAAGGATGTGTAACTTTGATTTTGCTGTCATGTGCTTTCCTTATGTGCATTTCAGATGCTTCTCATTGTGGACAAGCTTGATGTCCCATTGTCAATGGCTATAAGGTGATAATTGGAGCTCATGTTCCTTTATCCTAAATAACATGAGCATGAAGAGTAATTTGGAGAAAGTGAAGGATTGTGGTTGGTATTGGGGACCAATTACGAGGAAGACTGCAGAAAAAATTCTCCTGAAGGAGCCAGAAGGTTCCTTTGTGGTGCGTGACAGCAGTGATGATCATTACTTGTTTTCACTAAGTTTCAATTTGTGTGGAGTCACAAAGCATGTGAGAATTGCTTATGACAAAGGAACTTTCAGCTTTGGAGGTTTGTCAAACTTCAAGAGCCAGGATATTGTGGATTTCATTGAGAGTGCTGTGAACTATTCCCAAAGTGGTGGCTACAACTTCTTTGAATTGAGACCTCCCCAACTTGGACCTCAGCGCATCCAGCTCCTCCATCCTGTGTCTCGATTCAAACGAGTCCAGAGTCTCAAGCAGTTGTGTCGTGTGGTGATAATGAATCATTTAACTTCTAGAGATATGGTGTCTCAGCTTCCCCTCCCACAACTCCTCAAGGACTACTTGAATACAAAAAATTTCTACATAGAAAACTTTGAAGATGATTGATGATGTGTTGAAAATTCCCATGTAAACTTGTGGAGTGATGCATAGATTTACCCATGGCTAGTTAGTGAGAGGTTGTATTACTTAATTTCCAAGGCTGTTCTCATCCACAGGCTGATGCTTGTAATAGTATCCACAGGTAGTCATATTAGGATTTTTAGTCTACCATATCCTTCATATGTTTCTGTCTTTGCTCATCATGTAGAACAGGAATTGTGAATTGTCTTACTGAGGTGAAAGATGGGGGAGAGCTTTACTTGACTCTATAGGCACTAGTCATTTGCTTCCTCACCTCCCACAAGAGCTTTTTGAGTCTTGTGTGCCTGTGATATTAGATTCCAAAAAATTCAGCACTGGACACAATGTGTGCAAATGTTGAATTAGACCTATAATCTAATCTCATTTTGATTATGAGATTGTTTTCTAGACTCAATGTAGGTACACCATTCTAGTCGAATCTCCTTAAAACACTCTTATTGTTTCTTGAATGCTAGTTAAGGGAAATGGGACTTGCCTTGGCTTTTTCCCCATAGAAGCACTGCTAAGTTTCCAGGATATCAACTTGTATTAAATGCGACCTCTCAGCTATTGTGAGAAAATTTTATTGTCATCAGGAGCTGTTTTCTCCCTTTTCTCTCTGGAAGACCAACTCTCCTGCTATTTCATTTTGTAATCTGCTTTCCATGACTTTTGATCATGGTGAAGATAGCCTGAATGATTGCTAAGGATTTCACTGGTTGCTTTTTTTTTGGCCAAATTGCAAGGGAAGTACCTGTTACATGGTAGATTATGAGAAACTCACATGGCATTCCTCACTCAAGTGTGTAGAGCTACTTTTTCTTCATATACTGTATTTCATACACTTGCATTTTTTAAACTCAAATTTTCATAAGACAAGCACCTGGTCTTTTGTGGCTTTCAGGAGCAAACTCCATTTATATTCTTGCTACTGAGGTTAACCTATATTATCAGATACCAGTGAAGTCTCTCATCTAGAGGCCTAGATCTCTGAAGTAAGTTAGCTTCTAAGAAGTTTTAAATACTATTTGGCTTATTTGAAGCCATTGTTTCCAGAAAAAGTTTTGGTTCATGTATGAGTGCTTTAACAATGCACCTGATGCAACACTAAGGTAGCATATCACTTTGCATTATTATGTGCTTATTTTGATGTCACTATCATTGCATGGCATCTGGGTGGAAATTTATTGGGAAATGAAATCACCATTCTTTTGCTGGAATTATTCATGGCAAGCATTTATTCAGGTTGTAAGAAAGGGTTGTATGATGGTTAAGGCAGATCTCTGTGGCCACTAAAACTTGAGTGTTCATATGAAGCATTAAATGGGTGGCTGATATCCCATGTGACACTTAAAAATTGCATTTGGTAATTTAGCTGAATTTATCATGGGGTGCTGAAAAGCTTGGTGGCCCCTTTTTGTTGTGTCTTCCCATGATTCTTCTCCTTTTGAGTGCCTTTCAGACATCTAATCTGGTCAATCTTGCAGTTATACAAAGTATGGTATGTTTTGGATCTAGAGCACTTTGCCAATATTTTTAGTGGCCTTGTAAACACTGATCCTCTTAGATAGTACAACTAAGGATGGTTATTGTGAGACTGTTTTAAGAGGTTGGGCTTGATTCACAAAAATATTCAATGTGAATTGAGGGAGGTTGAGAACTGTAGAAGCAGTAACCACAGCTATATATACTGATTGACTTCCTTCATGTACCCTCAGATGACCTAAATGAACTCAGAAATGGGTAAATTTGCATGAGCTAATGGCACTCACTTTTGTTAGATGGATGCAATACCATGTAAGTAAAAGGAATAATGTTGAGATTCTGTTCCTTTATGATGAAGTGTCATGGAATCATGGTCCTTACAAAATCTACAAGTCATGGCTATAATGCCCTATGTAGTCATAAGAAGTTTTCCCTAATTTGGCATGTCAGGGTCTCCTGGAAGGTGCTTGACTTTCAGAGTTTCACTTTCCAATTGCTCAATGAGATTTTTCATATCTTGTTAATTCCAAAAGCTTGGGGATGCAGGAAGTCAAGATCACCACTCAAAAGTCATTGCATTTGATAGATTATAGTCTTTGGTTCCAGAAAAGAATTCACCTGACAGCCATCATATCATTTAGGGACATCTAGGGTGCCTATATTAAATATCTGCTTGAATTGAGAAATTACCTGGATTCTTTACATCTGCATTAGGAGTTATGAAGTTCTTTCTAAGTTCTTTTATGCTAGCTATCCTATATGTCCATCCTGCAAAATCTATGATTAGCAATTGTATCTGTTGCAACTATTGATTGAATATTTACAAACAAAAAGCACACGTATTCAGAATATTTTAAAATATATTTTGTTATACTGATTGTGAAATTCATGAAGAAATTATTTGGTTTTCTCTCATTTTCTCTTGATTCTATTTTCTATGTTGCATAGGCCAAATAAAGATCTGGAATATTTTCAGAGGAACTAATTTTTCTCTCAAGAATGTGGATGGTGTGGTATATTTGTGGCTAAGGTTTCAATGACTGCTTTCAATGACAATGTAGGCTCTGTTTTGAACTTTAGCTGCAGTAGTACCACAATATTGTGCACAATATTCAGAAGGGCACTTGAAACATTCTCAACAGTCACTGGCATTAATATATCAATGCTGCCCATATGCAAATTTTTTTTCATATTCATGTACCTGGAAGAATATATCCTTCAAATGTATATATTTAAAAAATATTTGAGACATCTATCAGCCAAGGAGATTTTATGAAGATTATGAAGTGTTCCAATTTTCTTTTCTCTTGCCTGCTGAATTTTTTATTTCTTCCTGGAGCCTGAAGCTTGATTGAAGTCAAGTTGGGAGTGTTCCCACATCAGGTACTCACCCTGTCAGGTCTTCAATGGTGATTTCAATTATGCATGGAAAGTAATGTCTGTGGTACCTGTTTAGCCCACATCAATCTAGCCTTATTGTGTTTTTGGAGTTGCTTCTGTAGAGTTGAATTGCACATGCATAACTGTGATTAAAGATTAAATAATACATTAATGTGTGAATGCCTAGAATTCTATATGTAGGATGGCATGAAGAGACATGCACAAAAAAAGGTTCTCTCTTGTAGTAAATTGTCAATAATAAAAAGATGGTATTAGTGGCACACTAAACACCCTCATAGTTCTTCAGTCTGTGGCAAGCTGCTTCCATTTGTGCATCTTTATGGTGTGCATCTTTGCACGCTGTCCTATATATAGAACGCCTGGCATATCTGGGTTAATTTAAGGTGTTGAAAGGAGTATTAAGTTGAAACCTGTCCTTTTTCCATCAACAGGACACAAGAACTCAGTGCAACAACAAATATTTAAAATAAATATTCTATAGTTGCATCATTTTACCCATTTGGATATTTTAAATTACCTGAGAAAAGACACAGTTGTGTTTTCATTATTTGTGATGTAGGTTCTGTTATTGCTCTCCACTGCTAATTTGAATGTATTTCCTTATATACATCACTGTGCCTTTGTGGTTGCTAATTGTTTTTTCCTGAGAACTAAAGTTTTGCTTTCTAGAACTTCAATATTAACTCATGAAATCAGTAATGCAGTAATCAACTAGACCTCTCAACAGGATGTAATCTTTTTCTACTCTGCTAGGAATGGGCTGACATTCCTCATTCTGAGGTTAAATGCTAATGGGAGAGTTTTTCATTTCCTGTGAGCTGCAAAAAAATTTTTTTTTTTAATCTCTTCATTGCTAACTTGGGTCAGGCAGAAGTAGTACTCAATAAATAAGGAATGAGCAGTACAGTGCTGTCTAATTTTTTTTCAGTCCTGTCTTAGTCTTTGTGTAACAGGTTATCAATATCATGACCATTTGCTGGCTTATGGAGAATGGGCTTATCCCTTATGAAAAAAGCCTATAGAAACCTATAAGATTTTTATGTTAAAAAAATCTCATAGAATCCTATGGGATTTTTTTTGCATGGGATGACATTCAAGCACTAAGTTTTGACTCAACCTCCTAAGTGATGCACGTACGGTGTATGTGAAAACAGCTTGAAGGGTTAATGACTTCATGACCTTATCAGACAGCCATGCAGATGGATACCTCACCAGATCCATAAGATTAATTAACTTCGATCTTTTCAGAGGGACTTTAAAAAGGGGAGGTTGAGTGCAAAATGAATGAACTGAAGTAAAAGGAGCTAAAGTAAACTGGGTTCCCTGGTATCTGGAGAGAATTGAACTAAACACAATTCTTGCTGCAGAGTCAAATCAAACTTCAAGTGGAATAGCTGTCATACACCTGTAGCACACATTGAAGAAATAACATTTTGCATTTTCCCCTTCATGCAGGTTGTCTGGATGTACTTTTCTACTTAATATTGTGGTATGGTACCTTTTGGACCATAGGTGTGGTATACCTGCTGCCCAGTGCTGATATGTTTACAGATGTGATCTCTGATGTTATTGGCATTCCCTCACAGCGGATAAGATCCAAGTAAGTTGCATAATGTAGATTGGTCCTGCTTGCCTAGGAACATGAGTTTCTAGATGACCCAAACACATGCAGGATTAAAGGTTGATTGTAGAGATTGAAAATGTTAAAAATTTGATACCATTTGGGTCCTATAATCTGTACTACAATGCTGTAACAGTAAATTGCTCCAAAAAGGGCATGAAGAAGTTGATGCTGCTATTTCTTTCTCTTATTATTAGCATCAAAATTCAAGTGAACTGCATGCCTGATATACAGATCTGTGTCAATGTAGATGTCTGCAAGGGTTTTGCTCATGTGGTGAGAAATGATTTCCTCTCATCAAAGTTTCTCATTTTAATATCAATGTCTGAAGTTTTATTGATGGGTTAGGAAATGATAGTTGCATTATGGTTCAAGTGTATACTTATTATTCTTGGACCCTTGTAAACACATGTATGTTATGAAAGTATTGCCTTCTATATCATTCAGTTTTCAGCTTTGTTGAAGCTGTGATACATCTGCAGTATTCAAAACAGTGCAGTATTTGTCCATAGTGCAATCTCTTGGTATACAGGAATCATGTGGATGGGGGCACTCTGACTGATGGAATAGAGTTACGGAGCTCTGAAGTGCAGTCATACAGCACCTCTGATGCTCAGGTATTTGTCTTTGTGTGTTTCTGAAGGCTTAGGTGGATGGATTCAGATTAGAATTATCTTCTGCTTTTACAGGTGGAGGCTCTGGGCCTGACACATGCAGTAGCTGATAAAGATGGTTCAGAGGCAAACATCTTCAAGGTTTTGGCTTTTCTGGAGAAAGCTGCTCCTCGTATGGAGAAGGAATTGAAGCAGGCTACATCTTCCCATGCATTTGATGGTTATGTGCTGCTGGATGATGTAGCAGAAAAATCTCCCAAAGTGCTTCATTCCCTGAACTCTGGGGATATCTCTGGAATGGTATGTGAATTCACATTTTTTGCAGTAGGTAAGGAATCATCAAGAATGAGTAATGCATTAGCTTTACTAGTAGTCTGTTGGATAAAAATGAAAGCATTGAAAGCTTTGCTTGTTATTTTATATTGGCATGGGAGGTAGAGTAATGGAATCATATTTGTAATGCTGCAGAAATTCTTTTTGCAAAAGTTTATATCAGTGTATATTCTGCAGAATCAGTTTACGACCTGAATGTTGGCATGAACTCATGTCTTCTACAAGAACATCAGTTGAGATATTGTCAGTTTGGCTGTCAAATGAAGGAACTTTTATCAGGCTGAAGGCCCACTCTCAGTTATTGGTATTTTTCTTCTAGATGGTGACAGGACTATCATGGAATCATATGGGAACTGTTCTGGGAGCTGTATACAGTGCTGAAAGTCATGATAATTGGTGTGATCATATTGGCCACTTAGCTACTTGGGGCATCACGAGGTGAGAATTGAATAAGCCTCTCCAGAACCCATCATGCAAATCTTGTAGTTGTATATTTATTTTTATATATACCTTACAGATCAAACTTTGATGGTAAGAAGCCTACAAGACAGCAAACTGCTAAATGCTGCATAACAGGAATTGCATATCATCCACTGAACCCAGCTATTGTTGCCACATCAACCTACAATGGTGAGTTTTGATGTAGAGAGATGGAAATTAAGTTTTATGTATAATCACCAATCCTCATGTCATGTAAACTTATTTATACCTCTGCAAGGTTTTGTGGGAATTAAGGGAGTCACCTTTCTGTTACTGTATCTGTTACTGTTTCTGTTACTGTTTCTGTTACTGTATCTGTCTATCTTTTTGAATACAAGGAGCTGTATATTTTGAGGGTCACTGATAAAGTTGTCTCTGGACTCTAGACATATGTTCTCTCTCTCCCCCTCTCTTTCTCTCCCACTCTCTCCATCCCATTCACTTGATTTAGTACAGGTGAGATTATGATATGGGACTTCAACAATGAAGATGAGCCTCTTCTTGAATCATCGTTGGCAATAATGGGGACACAGAAGGAGCCATTCACTTCTCTAAAATGGATTAGGAATTTCCTTGATGTTCGATCACAAAATCAGCTTCTGGTCTCCACTGGTCTTGATGGCAGGATCCTGTTGTGGGGTGTGAATGTTACCACTGGTGGGCTGAAAGTTCTTAGAGGGTAAGACTTCCATTTTTCCCAGGGCATAGCTTTAATCCCCATGACAAGCTTCATTGATTTATTCCAGGTATATAGTGGAAAGTGATGGTATTACCATACCAGGTCATCTTGTCCATCACCAGACATATGTTGGCATTCTCTCCATTGACTTCAATCCTCAAGATTCCAGTCAATGTATTGTTGGCTGTGAGGGAGGAGTGCTTGCATTCTGTTCTCTTGTGTCTGAGAAACTTGCTGAAGGTACCATTGTCACTGGAATTGAATATCATGCTTTAAGGAACAGTAACAATTTTTTTGTTTGTTTTCATTTCTCTGTTTAGGGTCATTTGCTGATGCAGGGTTACAGTTGAGAAACCCTGTGTGGCAATTTCTTCATCCTCATGTTGGGAATGTCACAGGTGTTTCTTGGTGCCCTTTCAGTTCTGATCTGGTGGCATCATGTGGGATTGATGGAGACATTCAAATTTTCAATCTCAAAGAGGTGATTCTGCTGTCTGTGTTATCCTAGATGGATCTAAGGTACACTCAAGACAAGCTCATAGAATTGGATGGATTGTTTGTTTCTCACAGAGTGTGAATCCAATGGTATCCATCATTGCAGGGGTACCCTGCATGTCACTTGTTTGGTCTCCTGCAAGGCCTCTTGTTCTCTATGTAGGGAATGCAAAGAGTGAAGTTTTTGTGTTTGATCTGAAACAGAGTCACTCAAACCCCACAATGATTCTCTCCACACCTGAGCTGTCAGGTATTGTGAATGCACTTGCCTTCAGTGCCCATAGGTGAGGGTCAAGTCAGTGCCAATAATCAAAGCAGGGGAATTCACAATTGTCCTCAATGACTTCTTTGTGTCCTTTGCAGTATGAAGTTACTTGCAGCTGGCTCTAGCAAGGGAAACTGTGTGATATGGAAGCTGACAGAAGATCTCACTTCTCAGCAGGGGCAAGAGATGGCTTTGCTCAATGACTTGATGAAGTCTTTAGATCAGCAGTGAGTCACTTGCTGTGAAACAAATTTTTACAGCAAGAGTTTCTGATGATGCTGATAGCTGCTGCAATGGTGGCAGGAGTATTTGCTTTTTAGTGTTTGATCTCTATTAATTTTTTGCTTTCAATCTTCAGTTTTATGAGAATTTGGGAAATGCCTGTGATGTTCTGTAATTACTTAATATATTTTATTTATGTCTAATTTAGAAAAGGCACAGGAGCCTTGTATTCCATTTGGTATCTATACAGCTTGAAGTATGACTATGGCAATCAACTCAATTCATCACAATCATTCAACTTTCAGCTATACCTAGTATGTGTCTGATGCATGGACGTGCTGAATCCAGCTTTTTATGATTGGATTAATCTGATATTGGTTTTGTTTTTGTAGGGTTATGAGCTTGAGGTTGTGTTTTGAGTGCATAAAGCTCCAAAGCACATCAGAATACCTTTACTCTGTCTCAAGGAAGGGGAGACATTAATTTAATTGATAATGTTATTGTTAATCTATTTGACACCATGGGAATAACTTTGCAAAGACCCTTGTCAAATATAGCAATGAAAATGGACTATTTTAGAAGTATAGATGCAGGATTCCTAGTTTTCAAGTTGAAAGTGAGAAGATTCCTGGAAAGCCAAGGAGCCTGTTCTAATTTTCTTGGAACAATTGCTAGAACAACGGAACCACAATCAAGTTTTGTAAACTTTTTGCAAGTTGCTTGCAGTGTCTGCAATGATTGGAAGGAAACTGACTGATTTGTATTGTTCTGCTCTATTTTTTTGTGCATTTTCCTGTGCACACTTGGCTTCAGTTTTTTCAATCTCCATGATTTATTCCTCAGGTATTGGTGACTCAGTCCGTCATTCATGAGAATCTGTGATGTGCTAAGAATCTATTCACTGTGATTTTCTTTCACTGAAGGATATGCCCATATGCCATATGTATCATATCCTGAAAAGGAATGAAAGCTTGCCTTTTATCACTGTATCTTGGCTTGTGTTTAGAAAACAAATGAAATGCTTTATGTTTCATAGTGATTACCTTTGAAGGGATCTCTTCAAGGGAACAAAAATTCCCTGGGAAAATGGTTCTTAGAGCCATACTATCATTGGCATAAATTTGTAAATTTTCATGCAAATTTGATATGTTCTACACAATTAGCTATGTGGAGTGAATTGATGCTGAAAACCTCACATTTGTCTGCTATAACACTGCCCAGTTTTGCAGGCTTCCTTTAATTTTTTTTTGTAAGATAAATCCAATAGAGAACTTAGAAGCACACCTTTACCATTCTTCATAATACCTTCTCTAACTAGCAGTTTTCTCCCACTTTTTCCTGGTGTGGGGAGCCTAAGCCAGCCTAAATTTTTCTGTGGCAGAAGCCACAATGGAACGATACAAACTTTTTTTATATACGTAAATAAAACTAAAGAAAAGTCCTGGACATACATTCATTCTGTGAAATTAGCCTAAGCTAAAGTTGGGTTATATGCTTTTAAGTCATTAGTTGTTTTCCTTGATTTTCATCTGTATGATAACATGATCATGGCTTAGCCAAAATCCTGTATTATTTATCTCAATATATTAATTTCCAATGAGGTGCTTGCTCTAACATGATTGTGACAAGCCATTTTGTGACCTATCATGCCATGCAATGGGTGAGTACAAACTTATCTATGGGCTATCATCTATCCACTTGTTGGAGAATTTATTGCCTATGTTAACATTTATGAAGACTCTCTTGCTCTCACCTTTTTGGCTTGGATAAATCCATGATGTTGGGGTTCTCAGCCATCCTTTTTTTCCACAGAACACTGAAAGCATTCTATAATCACTTCAGTATCAAATTTGGGTATGACATTAGCTGTCAGGGAGTGGTTTCAAGATTTTGTTATACCAAACTTAAGGGGTATGATGAATTTACCTAATTTTCTATGATTTCATTATTTCTATGATGAATATTGAGCCACATTGTTGCTGCAGATATGCTCAGCTGAAACTCCTCATTAGCAATAGAACAACAGCATAGCACCTTGTCATTATGAATAATGACATGGCAGGCAATCCCTGTCTTGTGCTGCTATCCTAGGTATTTGGTGCTCTTTGTTTTCTATGTAGCTCTCAGAAGCATTGCTTCCCTGTTTCAGTGGGGCAATGTTTCACTGTTTTCACTAGAGTTGCATGCTTGATGATGTATATCATATTGGTATAATAAAAATATTTATATTACTTATCCTAGTTTATAGAGATGGCATTTAAGAAGTGACATTCCTCAGGATCCCTTGATTCAGTCAGTTTGATTCACCAGGACTCTTGAAATATATTTGAAGGCCAAGTGGTAATTCCCCCTACAGCATGGATTGGGCACTCAAAGTGGTTGCCTGATCGCCCACTTGTTTCTGTGCATGAAGACTGTCATGGGGCTTTTTGGGAAGTCTGAGCAAAAGAGTCCAAAAGATCAGGTGAGTTCTTCATGGAGCATGTTGGGTCTTGAAAAGTTTTATTATCCTCTTTTGTATACATCTAGCCTGAAGATGCTCCCCATTATCTGTAATGGAAGTCTTAAAAAAGAATGACTATTAAATTGCCTAATCTTGTGATATATTTTCAGGTGAGGGAGTGGTGCAGTCGACTTAGAAAAGAAGGTTTCCAGCTGGAGAGACAAATAAGAGGCTAGTATTTTTATAGGAAACCTGTGTCTTCCAACACTGTCTTTTGTCTTAACTTGCACAGACATTTGGATACAATTTCCAGAAGTCTTTCCAACAAATTACAAATCTATTAAGTAAAAGTTCAAGGGTAGTGGAAATACTAAAATTGCACAAACAACTTTGAGATATGAACCTGCTAGTAAGTACAGTAAAACTGGAAGCAATTAAACATGTACTGACTGTAAATAACCTCATCCTGGAAATTGTATGCTTGTTTCTAATGAAACTTGAAACAGAGAACAGGTGACTTCTTTGTCTTCTCTTCATGCTTAATGTTACATATATACAGTTTCTGGTTGGGATATGCACTCTCCATGTGATGGGGATTTTCCTTACAAGTTTATTCCTTCTAAGCCTGGTTTTATTTAGCAATATATTCTATTGTTAGCAAACACCAGTGCAACCATTTTAAGAGTGCCCCACCCATGATTCCAGTATTCAGAAACTTCAATAAGTGAAGGTTACATCACTTCTAGACAAACATGCAAGGTGGCATTAAGTTGTGATGAGTTCTACTTTATCAAGTGTGCTTCCAGCATTCATTTTTTGGTAAGGTAAAACAAAAACACATAGCATGAATTGGTTTATAAGAAACATCCACAGCTAATATTGGGGTTCTTGAGCTCAACCATGCTCCACCTCTATTGAAGAAAATGTAAGACATGATGCCTTGTGCAACATAGGTGGCAATTTGTGAGACCAAAATTTTACCTTTTGTCATTTTTGCATGTGTGAATGTTATTTTTCTTAATTTTGCAAATATGCCCATTTTGTTAACATACCTTCTTCTAAGCCTATCAAGCGATTTCCAGTGATGATAATCATCCAGTAAAATGTACCTTGATACCACCTGCTTTATAAAGATTTCAATATCTAATACAATTGATATAATTTGTGGATATGTGTCTTTTCCTATTCAGGGATTCAGAGAGAGGAGGATAAAGTGAAAAAGACCCTGAAGGATGCTGCTAAAAAGGGTGACAAAGATGTCTGTCTCATTCTTGCAAAAGAAATCATTCATTCTCGAAAGGCTATTGGGCGGATACATATAGCTCAAGCCAACCTCAAGAGTGTGGAGTATCAAATGCAAAATCAACTAGGTGAGAAGAATAAGCTTTTTTTTCATCAGCTTGAAATTAGTAAAGGATGGCTAAAGTTGAATAAATGGCAGCCAAGCTGTTTATTGTTTTGAATATACAGATTTCCCAGAAGGTATCACTAATAATTAAATAATCAATCGCAGTAATTGGGAAGCATGCCAAAAGAGGAAGAAGTGTATATTGTTGATGGATGCTAAGTTCTATTGACTTCATTTGAAAATATGTTTCCCACTTGTTTTTCAATGCTTCTGAAATAATGAAAATGAATCACTACATTCCTGGTAAAGGGTGATGTTTACTCTGAAAGGCATCAAAACAACACATGCCCTCTTAAAGGGCTGCTATATAATTATTTGTCTTCAAGTTACAAGTTCCTGCCTTTGGCTATTAAGCCTGTGTTTTTAGGTGCTTCAGTATATCTGTGAAAGTTTACTATTATTTGAGAAGTAGAATTAATATGCAAGACTGTCATAGAAAGATTACATTTGAAATAATGTCTCTTCCAGCCACTCTGCGTATTGCAGGGTCTTTGCAGAAATCCACTGATGTGATGAAAGCCATGCACACTCTTATCAAAGTTCCAGAAGTAGCAGCAACAATGCAAGACTTGTCAAAAGAGATGATGAGGGTGTGTCCTAAATCCCATCACTGTTTACTATATTGGTATCAAATGGAGGTAGGTCTTCACTCATGGCAGTATGGCATTGATATTTGTTTCAGGCTGGAATAATGGAAGAAATGATGGATGACACCATGGAGTCAGCCCTTGGGGATACTGATGAAATGGAGGAAGAGGCACAGCAGGAGATTGACAAGGTCAGAGCCAGAACCTCTTTGCCTATTGTAGTGATTGTGACCATATGAGTTGACAGAAGTCTTCTGTGTCACAGATCTTGTGGGAATTGACAGCTGGACAGCTGGGACAGGCACCAAAGGCTCCTAAGGATCAGCTACCTGCTGCAGCAGAAAAAGAAGCTGAAGCTTCAGATGAAGAGAATGAAGAGGAACTTAGTGAAATGAGGTCCCGGTTGGCAGCTCTCCGCAGCTAGTTGTGCCAATGGCAAGCAGATACCATGGTGTGTGATGATTGAACCTGATGACTGCACCTGGTTGATGATCTCTCCATGCAAAGTTCCCTCTTGGCATTCTGAAAAACTTTGGATCATGGAGAACCTTTTATATCTCCGGTGCTTTTAACAGTTAAAGAGAACCCTTTTTCCTGCCACTGGTTTATTTCTGAGTTTTTTTATGTGATTAGTTTGTTGTCAATTCAATCAACCAATTGTAGGAATGACATACCATCCTAAGGATCCAGGATCTCCTGTGAATATGTCACATTCACACCTGCAAATTGCTATAGATTATCATTTAACAGTTCAGGAAGAGATAAGAAAAAGCCACTTTCTGCAGTTGGGTATGCTGCTAGGGTACACCGAGGCCTTACTCCTCAAATGGAGAAACTCTGAGTCCATGTCCGTGTCTTGTTCCCTTCAGAACAATACATTGCGCCAGGATGAAAATAAATCCCATTTGAAAGAGACACAGTAAAGAAGCATCCTTTAGCTTATGGCTTGTGGTGAGTTAGGCCTATGATAGCTGTGACATCATCCTGCTGGTTACATTTGTCACCAATCTCTACCTGCAGCAAATAGCTGGAAAGTGTTTGAAACTTTGAAATATGCATTTTTTTTTTTTATAAACATCAAAAAGGAAGTTGGCAATCAGTGACCATTAACATTTGAAAAAAAATGTATGTCATGAAGGCCACAGGAGAAGGAAAAGCAAATGGAGAAATCTTAGGCACTGTAGAAGTGCTTGTAGAGTATATCCAATGAAATACCTGTCAGTCTGTTGCACCTGAATTCTTCCCTTTCTTTTATCTCCTGTGAAACCTTCATGCTTCATTTTTTTGTATAAATTTTGTAGCCGTCATTTAAAAAAAAACAACGTTCAGCTCATTTTCTGGCTGGTGAAGTTCCTCATAGGGATGGGGATTCAAGTATTTGAGTTTGTTTGTTGTAATCCTGGACTTAGCCCCTCAAGCTAGTGATTTTACTTGGTGTACTGCTGTGGTCTAACCCACTAGGCTGCAAGTGCATACTTGGGTATGCCAGCTTGAGGGGTTAATAGAGAGAAGAAAGGGGGAAATTGTAATAGTAAATATGCTGCATAGCAGCTTGATTCCAGATGGGACATGGGAATGTCTACCTCAAAATTTTTTAGATTCATTATCTGGTTAGGTATCCCAAAAGCTATATCCCTAGAAATAAGTGATAGGTAGCAATATGCAAGTGTGCATTGGCCATAAGATTCTGATGCATGAATTCATGGATATGATTCAGAGAATATCACTTCGAAGTTTTATTATCAAGTTCCTTTCTTGACTGCAGTGGTATGCATTGGTCTAAAAATGCTTAGCTTGCATAGGAGGCCACACTAGAACATTTTTCTCATCCCCCATTTGTGGAAGGAGAAAGAGTTACAACATTTCGTAAATTTCAGGTTACACTGTTGCATATTTTCTTGGTCTATCATCTTTTATTTATAAAGGGTGGCACAAGTTGCTTCTACTTCCCCTCATTGAAGATCCTACTGAGCCCAATTGTTATGAAGAAAGGCTGAGGTTGTTGGACATAAGAACTAAATAGTTCAATGTGATTTGTTCCTGAAAATTTTGTCCTGCTCATATCCCCCCAACACAGTGAGCAATGACTAAAAATGCTGACTTTCAATGTTGCTGCATTTTGATGGGATCATCTTTTCATCTTAGGAATGAATCATTTCAGGACAGTTCCCATACATTAAGGGGAGAACTAATGAAGCCAGTAGATCCAGGTCTTCTCAAGATTACCCCAGGAAGCATTACAATTGATAACTGCGAGATTGCAAGGATTGCAAGCTTTGCTTTGTTTAAGAATTCTTTGAGTCTTGAACATCCAGAGACATATTTTATCTATCTACATGTCTGCCATATTGAATAATAATTTATTTAATTAATTGTGTGTAGTTATTAACTCATTGCTAAGTTTTGCTGGTTCATCAATATCAAATTTACCTATACCATCTCCAAGATTGATGCCATGCATGCCTCAAGATGGTTGTTTGAAAAAATGCAGCATCCTGCTTCTACATACTAATATTTGGATGTTTCAAACAGTTGATGCGGTGGTAACCATTGGTGCTTTTTTAAAATCCAATTTTGCTCTTGCATCTGGAGAAAGTCATCCTCATCCTGATTAAAAAAAGGGTAATATATATTTCCTGAAGTACTCCCCATTCTCTTCATCTTGTCAGGCTAGTGGAGTCCCCTTGTTTATATGTTCATGACATTGAAACTACGATGAACAGGGCAAACTGCATTATGTAGAAAGAACTTTCCATTTGTGTGCATTTTATGATAGGTCAATGCATTGACCAATAGGAAAAAATGGACTATTCATAACAGAAAATTTGTTAGGGAATGAGTAAATTTTTCTGGAAGGTAGTTTTTCTTGTCAAAACTAAACTTTTCTTGCAGGTAATCTTTCACTCCTGACCAAATGAGAATATCGAAATGTGCCAAGTGCTCAGTCTACCATTCATTATAAAGCATCTGGAGTGGAAGCCTGCCAGTACCTTCCTATCCTATGGGATAATTGCATTCCAAATCTACCAACAGCTACAAGAACAGTGGAACAATTACACACAATGACGCATTGTATTTCTCTATTCCAGGCATTCATCCTGGTAGTTGACTGGAATTTAGAAACTCTGCAGCATTACTAAATACTTTATTTTGTGTCAGTGCCTTCTTTTTTTTTTTTCCTGAACTTCTGTTTGTTATAAAGCCAGGAACTGAATAGGTCAAGGTATTATTCATGTTTTCAAAACAGGAAGCATTTTCAACTGGTTCAATTAATGATTGTGATAGTAGTCATCTATCAGAAGTTGATATTAGTTCACAAGGAACTGTTCACCTACTCTTAAGTAAAAAGGTTTTTTATTCATTCATTCATTGTCATCTTCTTTCCTTCGTGCCTTTACTTCCCATGTCCTTAGTCAAAAAAGAAAAAAATCCGAACCTGTAACTGATGTTTGAAATCTGTATTTTTCCAATGCGCTTTGTATGAACTCCCACTTAACCCACCCATCATGACTTTTCAACTACTTTGTCATGATTTGAACCTTTTTTATATATATAAGTAAAGCATGCCATGGCAGCCCTTGATGATGGTATGGAATACAGTGATGTGATGATCATTTTTAAAAAAGTGTAGTTAACCTTCAATATACTGCCATTCAATATATCACCTCTCTTGCTTATCGCCCACTCTTTCCTGAAAAATCTCCCTCATAAGCTTATAATAGGTTATAGTGCCACTTAAACTTCACATCCATTTGGTCAATTTGTCCTTCAGAGATTTTTTATTAGTATACTTCAGTTCATTCTATATAGGGTCACCTGTGCTATAGCCCCAAAATCAGCTATGGCCAACAATGATGTTATATTGAGGGTTGACTGTACTGGAAAGTTATTACTTTCAGCAAGACACCATTGTGAATGCACTATTTTTTAATAAAGTGAAGTATACTTCATCGCTGTGTGGTTGACTCAATTTTTGTTGCTGTGGTATGGAGGGAGGAAAGAAGTCCTGCTTTTTGCAGCTCTTAGACCTAGTAACTTAAAGAGTTCTAATTTTATGGCCTTTGTGATGGATGTAATACATATGCATCACTGTGACTTGACCTCAACCTAAAACAGTTGGTAACATAATTACATGATAGGATCAAAATGGATGATCTGCAAAGACTTACAATTCCAGTTTTCCTGCTATACTTTGAAACAATAGAACTCTTGATTTTGACAGTAATATTCTACATCAGCATAGAGTGCTTTCATCTTTGAGTGATTGCAACAGCCATCTTCAAGACATGACAGTATGGCAATTGGGCTCCATGACCCACATGATAGATCTATCATGGCCTTACTCTGTTTGGCATATACTGCCTTCCTGATTAAGGATAAGTGGAATCTGCAAGACACCTGATGTCTCTCAGATTAAGCATTGCATAATTTGCTGTTGCCAAATGTGATAAGACCCTATGACAGGTCTCCAGTGTGAGGATTGGGAATAATTCTTATTACCTGAAAGCTTTAAAAAAAAGGTGAGACATGGAGAGTAGCAAAATGGATGAGGATGCTGGTTACATTATTGAATTTCTATGGTTTTATTAGAAATCTTTTAATGTGAGCTTATCTTGCTGGGAAGACCATGCTACAAGCATGATCATAGTCTGCTATGCAGGCAATGAGATTTTCTTACCTTCAACCCACTTAAAACTTGTATTTGTTTGTTTCATGTTGAGTGAGTGCAGCTAATTATGCAAAAATGAGCCCCCAGTGAACATGTTGATAAATTATCCAAATGATAAACATGCATGCATTTTGAACATTTATAGTAGAGCAAGAAGTTGCCATTTTGTCTGACAGAGGAATGATAGATGAATTTTTGTCTTTTTTTTTTTTAGAGCCAAAACTTTCAGCTTCATGGGGCAAAATTGAGCATTCCTCAATTCTCATTTTGCAATCCATGAGATAGGGAGTAATTCTTGCCTTCATGAAAATGTTCAAAATTGCTTTTTCTCCTTTTTTTCATTTCATGGACAATGCATATGCATTAAAGTGAAACTTAATTCTGTGGTAACATCTATGCAAGTTGCTATGTCAAATGTAACACTGATATCTTTAGCAAGTCTGGAAAGTTAATTTGCAGAGCAATGCATCTAAAGCTGTATGTTCTCAGAACTTTGTCAATATTATTCTCGTATGTCTCTGCTGAGTAAAAATCATTTTATACACCATACAGGGTGTTTTATAAATAATGTAAGCATTTTTTTTCTTACAGTAAAGCTAAGCTTCATATTAACTCATTCTAATAAATGTGATGAAGGTTTTTGGTTTTTTTCAAAACAGGAACATTAGATGAATCAAGAACCGTTAGTAATAACCTCAATGAATTGCAATCACATTCTGAAAATTCAGCAGAATCACCAACACTTACCTTGCATTTCCTCAATATGTGCCTGCTATTGTGCATTTCATCACCATCATTGTGGGGTCCGCACTGACCCCAGGTGTCTGCTGCTCCTTCATGAATGCCCCACAGTTACACACAGTCAGAACAAGTATGTGGTTGCATTCTCGATTCTGGAACAGGTCATGTGTTTCCATCGAGTAACTCCTCCGAGAAAATTTGAAGCAAATTTTATTAATACTTGCAGTAAGGCACATAGTGTACCATTTCTGATTTCTGGTTTTAAAAGAGCTCCTATATTTCAGTTTTCACTGGTTCTAAGTTCCTCGGCTATGGTTTCCGAAGTAAGAGGCATGTCACACCTTATTATTGAGCCTTGGAATGGCTACGTTCAGATCACAAATGGTCAATTTCTTAATGTTAGCTCAATATGTTGTCCTAAAATAATGAACTAGTACTATACTGTGAATGTGTCCTGCTTGATGGATTGTCATATGCTTCAAATATTCAAAGCAAAAATGAAGTTGCATAGCTGTTTCTAGCATCATTTTCAAGTTCCTCTGAAAATCAGCAGTGGGTGTTGCCAGACTTACAATGGTGGGTGCAGGCTGAGAGTGAAATTGCATCGTCCGTTGTTGCTTGCAATGGAATTTTTAATGTAAATATATGGCAATTCGGGTAGAATTTATGATTCTGAATTATGAGCTCTGCGTTCCCCATGTGAAGAATGAAGAAAATAAGAGTTTTATTTAATTATGCACACCCCCTGGTAGTGGAGAGAGTACGGGAATGTCAGTCAGGCACGAGTTACCTCAAAGACGGGAGATATTAACCATGCATGGAAACTTTTTTTTTTTACTCTGGACTTGAGGGTAAATATGACAAAAGAAATTGTAGTTAAGTTTCAAACTACGCAGGACCTTTCAAAATCCAGCCAGTTTTCTTTGGACTCAAGAGGCGATAACCAATCGTTAAAAATCAGACCAGGATTTTTTCTTAAAGAATAATTTGGTATTTGGAATTTGGTAGCCTAATCCGAATGCAGATTTCTGGACTGCAACCTCTGCTTGCATTTCTCTGACATAAAGGAATCTAAACATTACTGCTGACTCATTGGCAAACTATGTAAGAGCTTGGCTCTGTCTCATTAGGCTATGCTGTTGAAGACCAGGAACGTGAACCCTTCCCCGTCTATGGCGGACATTGACAGCTTTCTCGTTGTAGATAATGTAAATTAAATTCTGAAGTTCCTGAATCTCTTGTATGTTTGGCGTGCCCTGTGAGTCCCCTCCCTGTTAAATTGAATTTGATGCCTTTTGCACTGCTTTACTTTCATATCATAATTTTTTTTTTACAAAGATGTTCGGCAACCAGCAGGTTTTACTTCAATCCCTATTGCATTTTATTGACTGGAAGACTTCATGTGAAGCATTTGGCTCCAGTTTTTGAAGTCAGAATTTTTTTCATTGGAAAACCATTTTTTGTCATTCATTGCACATGAGTTGCTATTGGAAGCATCATAAGCATCATTCGCTAGTTTTATCACGGTCATTATTTTCCATTTGGCAGAATCAGGAACCCCGAATGGCTCAATCGGTTAGCACAAATTTCAAAGTGAGCCCTTCTTGGACGGCCAGCGCGGACATGGCCAAGACCCTGTCCGTGCGAGCGAGCGGGTCGTGGACGCCGCAGGACCTCGACAGGTGAGGGCGGCTTTGGAGGCCTGCGCGAAAGCGGACGAGAGGGAAGCCTGTGCCTCTTTTATCTTGAGATTCTGTCTGCATTTCAGCATCCCACTGGAGGAATTCGTTTTCCTGGAAACCAGTGTTTTCCTGAGAGGCACCGACGAAAGTTCAAGCTGTGATGTATCCATTGCTCCTCCCTTGGAGAAAGTGCTTCGAGGGATCGCCATTGTCTCCGAGGTGAGAGTTATGTCGCGGTTGCTTGTACTTGGGAATTTTTTTTTTTTAAGAATCCTCTCACTGATAATTGGAAATTTCCATAGAATGCTCTTCGTCTTGGCTACTTTCTCTTGGCATGTAAGCTGTTGCTCACTCCAGCATCTACACAAAAAAATTTCGTACGAATGTGAGACCGAATTCAACGTGTCTGAAAAAAAAAGAGATGGAAGAGAACTGTCTTGCGAGGATGGCCAACCGCCGCTATAAATGCTAAGATCCAAGGACCCGATGCCCTTCATCTTCCCGGAGCTTCTTTCGAGATGCCTTTCGTTGTAATGCGCGATATGGGACTCGATGAAGTTCCCCTCGAGGCTCTGTCAACTTGAAGCGGTAGATCACGTGTGGGAGTCTCCTTAGGAAGTGGGGAAACGACGAACGAAACTAAGCAATTTTGGCTCAAGTAAGCATTCACGGGAAGTGCTGCCCAGCTTTATTTTATGGTTGCATGTGTTGCCTCTCGCTGCAGCTACACTGCCATAAAAAATGTAATAAACGTCTCTCTCGTCTCTCAAAATGACCCTTAGGCATCGCGAGTCGAGGTGTTCGGGAACCACGAGGAATACGAGGGCACCTGGAGCGGGCGACTGGTGGAGGACGTCGAGGACACCATGGTGTTCCGAGTGGACGTCTTCCCCCGGGGAGGACTCAGGGAGGCCAAGCTCAAGGTGAGTCTCCGCCGTCGCCCGGGGGCCTGTCGGCCCTGGGCGGGCTCGATGGCCCGCGTTGCGCTTCGAAAGCCTCTGGGACCGATTCTTTTGCTACAGTTTCGCTTGTCTGAAAGCAAGTTTGAAATATTAGCTTTTCTGGTACTTTATAATCTTGAATGGGCCAAATGAGTTGGTATACCCTACTTTTTTGTACTCTACCGTTGGATTCCTTGCTGAATGCTCGAAAAAAGATGTAATAGACGAGACTGGATATACGATTTCAAGATACGACTGGATATACGGTTAATATACGAGATTGGAACAAAAGGGAGTGTTCTCTTTGAAACTTCCCTAAATACAGCCAGATCCTATCATATCATCTGTTATCCATTGGAATCAACTGACGCTAAGATCCGCTCTTTTTTTAATATTAAGTACTTTAAGAATTACTGTACCGAAGTGCTGTCGTCGATTAGCTGATGTCGCTGAGGAGCCCAGCTATTATATCCTGTGCAGTATTTTCATTCGTATTCGTCTCAAGCATTCGGTATCGTCATCGCCGACGAGGCGTAAGATGCAAGAAATCTTTCACGTTTCTTCCCTCAGCTGCACGGCAAGAAGCGAAAGGAGCGGAGCCTCTGGGTGTACGGGATCCTGCTCCTCGTGCTCGACGCGGCCCCGGTCGCGGCGGACCGCGCGAGGAAGGCGACGGTGGGGTGCCCCGACGCGGTGGAGTCGCTCCTGCGGACGCTGAGGGTGTCGGACCCCCCGCGAGGGGGGGACGCGGTCGCGGCGTTGTCGGCGTACGTGGACGCGAGGCTGGGGGAGACGGAGCGACGGCTCGAGGCGCTCGTGGACCGCAGGTTCGCGGAGCTGGAGAGGTCCGTCAGGGGGATGCTCGAGGAGGTGGAGGGGAGGCTGGGGCGGGGGAGGGCGGTGGGAGTGTTGGACGGGTCCGGACCCTCGCTTTCCCACGGGGAGGACGAGTGAAGTCGACGAAGGAAACGATGAGGCGGGCCTCGTTGCTTTCGTCGTCGGAGACAGTGTAGCGGTGGTTTGTGTTCGAGGAAGGGTGCTTCTTCCTATTGCAGCTCTGTATTGGTCGTTTCGATGTGTGATGCATGTGTCATAAATGAGGTTTTGCCCGCTTGGGCACACTTTTCTCTATTATTGCCTTTTGCAGATTGAGAAAACCTGTGCTGTAGGACTTTCTTGGTTTAAACCAGTGGTCCCCAAACTTTTTGAGGCGAGGGTCGCATGGACACATTGGTCCACTTTGAGTGGGCCGCATTGGAAAAGATCCAACATTTCTGCATGGTTAACCCTTTATCTGGCCATCGATCTCGCTGTCAAGCTACTCTAAACTGGGAGGTCCCATTTAAAAAAATGAGCAGTAATCGAAAACCGCTTATTCCTACCACATCAACACACACTTCCACCTCTCTTAATAACGAAAACTGCTACTACTTGGAGTCGCTGCTCATGTAAACGCATCGATTCTCGGTGCTGCTTTGTTACGAGTTGTATTTTCGATAAATACTTCTTTCTTTAGCCTTAACTTCATACACTTGCGAGGGAAGACATTTTTCTCTGCAGTAAATGGAGGTTCAGAATGTTAGGCATTTAGTAGGTGCACATCAAAATACATGAGCAGCCAAATGTAAACAGGTATTATATGTACCTAAATATCTAAGCAACAACTAAATTTGTTAGTTTTCAGAGAAGGATTCAAAAACTGAAAATGAAAAAATTGTTAATCGCTATTACTCATTGGTGCCGATAAAACGGTTA